TTTAACATCTAATTGGCGGAAGAATACTCTAGAAGTCTTACAATAATGATCATATGGAACAAACTCATCCGATCAGTTGCATATTTCTCCATCTTTCACATTCTATCTTCAATATACCAAATCTTATTTTTCTTCAGTTTCATGGAATTGTACGATACTTTGACAAAGCTTTCAAAGGCCAAGAAATATTAGAACAAGCTTTGAAACATCTATTTTGAAATAAATGTTTCGTGGCAAGTTTTTCTAAACGAAAAGATGTTCACGGCATATAATTTACATTAAGCTGGTTTCATATGAAATATATAGTCAGCCATATTGTGTCTTTCATATGCCATAAAGCACAAGCTTTCATGTCAAAAGATCTAACAAACGGTAGATAAATATGTAAGTCTGATAATTATATTCCTTGTTTTATTGAGTTCAAGGAGAAAAATCAATTTAAAAAAGGCAGAATTTATAGTTTTGTTTAAATCATACTTATCTACATCCGAAATTATATTGTACGTTTGTGTTCCCTAACTATTGAAATCCTTTTGATTTTTTTATTAAATATTTTTAATATTATCGTATTATTTGCTATACGTTTGGATATTGTTTGTTAAAAACAATAGCACATGGAATCCCGGATAAACTCCGTATATTGTTTGTTAAAAACAATAGCATATGGAATCCCGGATAAACTCCATCTTAGCGAATATAATGCCATTTTTATCAAACAGAATTTCAAAGATTTTAGAGAATTATTAGACTAATAATCCACTTAGACTTGACTCTTAATTCTTTTTTTAAGTTAAGACGATGTTGGACTGGGCAAAAATTTATAATGTGTTACAAGACAAAAAGTTGGATGCTACTAGTAAAATCCACTTCACTTTTTTCAACACAAGATAGTAGTGAAGAATAATAGTTATGGTCTAAGTCAACAGGCGGCGTTATAAGATTGACAATCAAACCCCACTATTCAGTATGACAAGAGTAGTCCAAAAGTCCAAAGTCTTTGCCTTTTGGAATTCCAATGGTCTGGCGCGAGCCTAGAAACCACGGAGATGGCTGTTTTTTTTGTTGTTTTTTTTTTGTCTCATGTAACGCGCAAGGCTACAACACTCAAAATAAATAGGAAATTTCCTAACTGAACCTTCAAACTGCCATAAAACTTGTTGCTCATGGACCTAATGTATCTGTACCTACTTCAGCGGAGACCCTTGATACAGTTTAATCTGATTCTGAATCTGATGTCAATAGAAATTATGATAGAGATTGTTTTCAACCTGAATAGTCTGGAAAGGTTTCATCAAGACATTAGGGAAATGGAGAGGAGGTATCAGGGAAGGCGGAACATCAGCATGATGGCTGATTACTGCTGGTCGTTGAAACTATATGCCCCAGAGACAATATATAAAAGAAAGACCACAACACGTAGTTTTGAGACTAAAAGACGTAGATTTCACACACAAAAAATCAGAATGAATGAGGATGTATATTTGTTTGACGTCAATGTTCTTCCCTTTCCTTCACTTTGTTTGTATTTTTGTTAACTAAACATAATAATAAAAATAGTTCATTGTGGTAAATGAAATAATAATTTGATCTAAGTATG